TAGAGAGGAATCAGAGTGGGATAAGAGTGAGATGAGGGTGAGAGGTCGACAAGGACACTGGGGTCAAATCCTAACCTCCATGCTGCAGCTTAGACAAAAGAGCCAGCAAAGCAGGAGAGATCACTGAGGACACCCACTCACCCTGCAGAACGACATTATCACTCCCTGCCGAGAGCCTGGTAAACAGAGACAGGTTTATACATACTACATGTTTTAGCACAACACACACATATATAAAGGCCTATGTGCACACACATGAACACACACCTTTCAGTGCTTTAGGCTGCCTGAGGACAAAACAGTAAACAGAGCCTTGTCCATACACACTTTCACAATGTCCTATGCATATTAGTCTATGGAATAACTCACACACACACTAAGGGTCCCTGCAGATCAATGCAGATGTCAAGAAGCTCTCTGTGGCCTTTGGGGCTCATGAACATGGGAAAATGCACTCTATAACAAGGTAGAAGCAAATCAACCCCTATTTCTCCACCCATCCCAAACCTGCTAGATTACTGGGTTGACTGTTTTTTGCCTGTGTTTTAGGTTCTGAGATTAGGCAAAATTAATATTAATTCTGGGTCTTAGAGCAAATACACTGTTCCCATCATTTTCAATGATTTGCAGCTACTTCAGAACTACAGAGGCTTTTCCTATAATACAAACAGTGACTTATGATAAAATTCCCATTTTTTCCCACCAATCTACACTCAATAACCTTAGACACATCTCAAGGATAACTGAAGCAAAGAGGATGCACCAGACCACAATATGGAGGAATATGCAGTTTTTTTTAATTTGAGGAAAAAAGTTCTACAAATATTATTTCCACTTTCTCAGTATGGGTCTTTGAGTGTAGACTGATGGGCAGAAATGGCAATTTTATCCATTTACAATTAAATGTATGACACAGCACAGTGTGCAAAAAGATCTTAAAAAGGCACAATCCCATCTAAATATGAATAAAACAGTTGCCAGACTACAAAAATTATAGGATTGGGACTTACTATAAGTCTGAAATGGACAGAGATGGTGTTCACACATAAAACTTACTAGTGTGTGTTATTAGAAATGTTTTTAAATCGGTTATTTAATTTGAGTACACAAACAGGCCCATGTTATCAATTATTATCTATTGGAGAAAACAAATACTGCTGATTTTCTGATCATTAAACCAGACATAGCAACTTACATTTGGAGTAAGCTTATTAACTGAGATTTATGTGGAAAAAAAACAGGGTGAGAATATACTTTTTTTTTTTTTTTTAATAGGGCAGATCTTGTACCTATGCGTCAAAGCATGGACAAATGTGTTTTTTTCTATTGCCATTTTGCTCCCCGTCTCTCTCAGGGCACCATGTGGTGGTTGTTCATTAATTCATCCCCTCCTTCAGCCTCCCTCCTCGCGGTCCCTCTTTTTCCCTCTGGAAAATACCCCCCACTCCCTCCTCAAGTTTCCCTCTTGTCTCATTCCCACTCTTCCACCTCCCTTCAGCTCTAAGAACTCCATCACCTCCCCAATCCCATCATCATCCGCTCCTGGTAACATCTATGGAGTGTTTCTGCAGACTGGACGACAGGTCTCAAGTCAACAGAGAGCTGTTGTGCGTGAGTCTGTGCATATTTATTTGAGTTTAACGCAAACATTTTCAATATGCAGTTAATGATTTTAAATGTAGTTTCCATTCCACTGTCCTCTTCTAATAAACGGGAATATTTTCCACCCATTCTAGTCAATATGCATATTAGGCCTACATAACTAAAACAGTCCTACAGAAACCTTCCATTCATAAAGATTAAAGGGTATTATTATGGAGGTTGTAGCTGATGGTGGTGATTGGGTTGTATTGTCTCATACTGAGAGATGTTTCTAATAACTTGCTTGCCACATTTATATCAAGGAGATTTACCTAATACCTAACTACCCTTACCTAATGTGCCGACAGCGCTGTGTATTTTTGTCATTAATTCTTACAGCTGTCGTTTCAGAGGGAAAGGTTAAAGGGGAGTATTTGAACAAAGCTTCTCTTTTTCTGTTCATCCATCCATCCCGTCGTCCACCTGGTCAATTCCCATAGAAAGCCACCAACTCCTCTCACCATCATTTACATCTCTTGTCAAACATACACGGCTACTGACTCCATGCCTTTAAAAAGCACAAGCACTGATGTGTGCAGCACTGCAGCATGACTCACACTAGTGATGTGTAGTTAATTGGAAATAACAATATTAAAGTAAATGAGATTTGCCAATGAAAAACATGTTAATTTGAAGAACTCAAGATGTTGAGATAGATGACAAAAGAGCAGTAAAATAATTAAGTTCCTCAAATTTTCAAATTATAGTAATTAACACTTGAGTGTGCAATATCTAAAGATAATAAAGACTTCCATTTTAGATATAATTGCTCAGTGTTTTAGCAACTTCACATGCGAGCATAGAAGTAAACAGGGCTTGTTTCTTCACATATGACAACAACAGGACATTAAAATGTTTCTATCAAACATTTGAGCTCATATTCACAAGTCTTCCCCTTTCATGCCTCTTTTCTAGAGTTATTCCCTTATATTCTCTCTCTCACTAGTGCCTTCTTGCCTCCCCTTCACGCCCTCCGTCCATCTCTACGAATCTACCCAGACAGTTCTCCCATCTTGTATGTGGCCTCAGATGGTGCAGGGGTCACAGTTTAGACATGAGGCTCTCAGTGATTGGCCACAGTGCTGGACGCAGGACAAACTCAGAGTTCATTAGGGATAGATGAGGGAGAGGGGTCTGTGCATGTGTGTGTGTGTGTGTGTGTGTGTGTGTGTGTGTGTGTGTGTGTGTGTGTGTGTGTGTGTGTGAAAGGGGGGGTGGGGGTTCAGACAAGCAGATCACCAGTCTCACACAAACATATCCACACACCCCTTGAACAAAAACAATACTGTCTCACATAGGCAATTACGCTGGCACATCCAGGCCTAATCTAAAATATTACACAATCCTTTGCTGCAAAGGTGGAAAGTATTTAGACTATTACAAGAGGAAATGCTAACAAGTGACAATGCTGTTAATGTATCTACAGAGCTCAATCACGGCACAGAAAACCCAAAGAGTAATTATTGTTGTAATCATGAACATCAGCCGATAGTGTGTGTGTGTGTGTGTGTGTGTGTGTGTGTGTGTGTGTGTGTGTGTGTGTGTGTGTGTGTGTGTGTGTGACAGGGAGAGTGTTGGGGGCTGCACCCTAGACAGATTAGGGGGTCCAGCCAACCTTCATATTTTGTCTAGTAGTGTCGTCTGCTGGGGCTCATCCGATTACTGAGCCACCCTTAACACTCTTTTAAAAAACACATACGCACGCACGCACACGCATGCATGCACGCACACACACAATTTAAAAACAAAGGCATATACATTCATGAACATCCACAAGTAAAGACTATGCAAATGTGAGGAGACAATTATATCCCCACCACCCACGTACACATAAACACACATCAGCGTGATGCGTCGTCTTCCATTTCAGTTTCTGAACGCCACAGACACAAAGACACTCTAATCCTTACATAATCCCCTTCTGCTACCAAACACCAAACTCTGGTCATATCAACTCTCTCTCCCACACACACAAGCCTGACTGTTTCAAAACTACTTTTCATATCTTACTTTCTTACTGGCACTAACTCATTCACATAAAAAACTGTCTGCATGAATTTGAAGGCAGACTATGAAACTTTTGCTGAGCAGCGGCCACTGTGGCCCCAAGTGGCAACTGCTGCATAGTGGTAAATATTAAAACAGTAGCACAAATAGAAAAGAGACAGAAAGTCAGCAAATTGACTCGGTATCCAACAAAATCTTAAGTTTGCAAACATTAACTAATATTAGCCACTATATGCTACTGGGCATACCAGACCAAGTAAGGCTGTAGCAGCAAAAACCCTGAGTGCATTGAAATGAGTAAGGGTAGTTTTATTGCTTATGAATTCAAGTTTTAATTTGCAAGAGGAAAAAAATGTGTTCTTAATTCTTTCATAAGTTACATAGTCTGCAATCAAGCTAACATTGTATTCTTGTTAAAATGCCTTGAGTTTATACATGTGTAACTCACAAAAACAACTGTTTTATCCAAGCAGGGCTGTATTTTCCAATGTGCATTCAGGACCTGTTCAGACACGATAAACTGCCTTGAAACAATTTCCCTCCCAATCCTCTTCAACATACTGATTCATGAGTTCAGTCCTCATGGATGTATCAACAGAGACATCTAGTAGTCATCTCTGGGCATTACATGAAGGCAGGAAAAGGGGAGCATTTCCCGGAAATTTAACTTTTCATTGCTTCAAGGATTTTTTTTCCATCTAGTTTGTGACCAGAAATACATAAAAACTGATAAACTGATAAGTCGGTGTCCCATTTCCCCAAAGATGGGACAGGAGCTCTGCTAATTCATTCTTTTCGGTGCATTTTCTTTCACCTCTTTTTCTTCCTTTACTGGGCTCCTGTGATGACCATTCAAACTCAACATGATAAGACCTGCTACAGTTAGTTGATTAATCAACTACTCAATCTAGAGAAAATTACTTTTAAATTACCACTACTTTGATAATTGATAAATCTTTTTGGTCATTTATCAAGCAAAAACCCCAGTCATCCTTTGGTCTTCTAGCCTCTCCAATGTGAGAATTTTCCACCTTTCACCATTTTATATCATTGTTAACATAAATACTTAAGTTTTTGACTGTTCATCCAGCAAGACAAGACATTTGTTTTGTGACATTTAATAAGTCAGAGAATTAATTAAGAAAATAATTGACAAATTAATTAATAATAAAAAATTATCATTAGCCCAAAAAATAAAGTTCAACAAATAAAGTTGTTTCATTTGGACAGACAAAAATATTAGTATTAATATTAGGCCTAATTAGTTAAGATATAAAAGTATAAATTAATCATATTGTAGTTTTCAGTAATTGTTTAATTTGAGTCTGTTCGTGCATTTTGATCACACTCACCCAGTTTGTATGTCAGGACATACAGGACTGTCCATGGTGTGCCAGGTACTGCCAGCAGCTTCCTCCACACCCTCCATGGCCTCATAGCATCCATTCCCTGCCCTCCTCTCCTGCTGCCATCTGCCTGCTGGCCCCTCACAGTCTCATCATCCAACACGGGCCCCCCCCACACAAACAATGCCACGCCTGCATACACAAACGTCAGCAGCATGAACATCCAGCTCCATCCAGCCACGTCAATCACCGCCAGCAGCCCGCCTCCAGCGAACACTGACCCAGCTTTGTAGCCCACAACTTGTGCTGTGTTGCCCAGCCCCAGCTCCCCACGACCTTTCAACAACCCCACTGCAGCCCCATCTACAGCAATATCCTGGACAGAGGCCAAGGTGTTCATGGCCAGCAGGGTTCCTGCTACTCCCCAGATATGTGCCTCTGGAGCCAAGGCAGCACTGGAGAGGCATGTCAGAGCCAGCCCAGACACTGTCCCAACCAGCCAGTGACGCTTGGTTCCGAGCCGGTCCACCAACGGAGCCCAGAGCACCTTAAGGACCCAGGGGAAGTAGAGGATCTTGGTGAAGCCAATGCGGGTGAGAGAGTGGCCAGCTCCACGCAGGTAGACTGGAAGCAGTGAAGACTGGAGACCATAGGGGATGCCCTGGACAAAGTACAGCAGGCCCAAAAACACTAGTTTGTCATTCATGATCTACCTCCGAACGTGACCCTCTCACTGAGCAGACAGTGCAGTGGTCCATTGGTCAGGTCACTGTCATCATTCTGATTAAAGGGGACACTGCAACTGGAGTGGCTGACCCAGATGAACTGACTGACCTGAAATAAACAGACAGAGTGTGATGGTTATTAAGGATTATTGATGTTGAACATATATTAATGTTGAAGAAGATACGTGGTGGCTAAAAACTCTCACAGCTCCTGCGGGCAGCCTTAAAAGGACTTGTCTTTACATCTGTTTTAGTGCTTCTCTGCCCAGCTCAGTTACCAGTAACGTTAACCTGGCTAACGTTAGCCCCCTCAAAGTCAAATGACACATGGAAATAAACATGACAGTATTGTGGTGACCACATCTGATTTCATCATTTAACTTATACCAAAACACTAATGTGACTTTACGTCCCTGACCCTGTACTGACAGATGTAATAGTTAAGTTTGTTGCAAAACTGACTGACTAGCTACCGTTAGCTAGCTAGCTAGCTGTCATGCTAAACGTAGTATGCGAGCAGCTTTAAAACACATTTGTACAGAACCACAGGATGATCTGAGGAATTATTGCAATGAGAAAAAAATGTTCCGTATCTGTTATGACAGAAATTATAACACATACTGAGAAAGAAAGTTGGTTAGCCTAGCGATGGCTAACTGATGGCTCCGCTTGTTTATAGTTGTGGTCTGAGCTATGAGGTTGCCAGATACTGACAGAAATCCCTCTTCTGCGGATGGCAAACCAAGTAGGCAGAGAGAGCGCCAGATTTCCGTTCACTGTCCCATTGCGACATGTTTCATTTCTTAGACTTTCTCAATAATTTACATGCCATTACACACCCGGGAAATATATTTATTACCCAACTTGACTAGCCTCCACCCTTACCACACGGTATAAAATGGATATGTTCATGTACTCATTCTGGCTGATGTGTTATTTAGGGTATATAATTGTGTCCATTTATAACTTCTGGGATGTGTAGATATACAGTGCATTGTACCAAAAAATGCGATTGTCTGTGATTGTCACCATGAAGTGTTTTATTATGCGAAATAATTTTAATTGTGCATAAAAATTAGAGAATACTAAAGTTCATAGATTTACTAAACATTTTTCAAAAAAACTTTAGTTATGTGAGGTGTGAAAAACTGAAACAGCACAAATAGGCCTTCATACAAAAAGCTTTTATTTGCAGAATATCCGAGCTCCTTCAGCGTTACTTCTGCAACTAACATTATTGGCACATGGCAGTATGTGTCCTTCATGAACTGCATAGTGTCTGTTTGGAGCTACAAGGTGATTACTGACTATAGCTTCCTTTCAAGCAACAGATATGAGAATCTAATGAGAGTAAGGATAAAGATCACATGTCCACTAGAAAACTGCAGGGATAAGAGTGCTGCAAGAAAAGGATAGAAAATATCTGCTGAAGCAGTGCTCGTTCCATGTTAAGCTCATTGCTGTTAATATCTCCTATATGTCATGACAGTCTCAAAGAGAAAAGACTTGTCTTGTCAGGTCTTCACAAGAACATAGGGCACAATATGTGTCAAGACATTACAGGTCATTTTCCACAGCTCTACATGGTATTGGATCTTTGGTCATATGAGCTTTGATGCAATTGATTTGCTCTTAGTTTTCACCCCCACACAGAGCCAGCAGAATCTTCTCGTAGTCTCCTTTAGTGTCATCCTGAAGGGAAAAAAGACAGTCAGTAAATCAATAAACTGTTTCCATTTTTCTCTTGTTTTGTGAATCATAATATGTACACCAAAACAAAAAAGCAGAGCAATTCTAACAGTGAGAATGGCTTTGTTGTCATTATCTGTGGCAAGATGTTTGCTCACCAGAATATCCTGGTAGAGCGCTTTGCCGTAGTTTTTCTTGTACTCATCCTTGATCCGTTTCATGTCGATTTCAGAGCGGCTCACCATAATGCGGGTCAGGATATTCTTGCGGGTACCTTTACCCTGATGGACAGAAAAGAGTCAGCCGTGAAAGGCCTTGGGTAGCAGGCATAGCATCCTGCATGCATTTTTTATTTATTCATTTTGTGAGTAGTGACCTATACACACTGTACCTTCATGGCCAAGTAGAGCTTCTCAGCAAAGAACGCGGGCCTACTTCCAGCACACTTCACTGTGGTTATTTAAAAAAAGAATGGCTCATGTTCAAATCAAGTCAGTGAATAAATGACTAGTTGAACAAATGGTCAGGTAATAAAGTTAGAGTAGAGCGTTGTGCCTTTACCTACTGCAGTGAGACAACTCTCAATATCTCCTTTCATCTCCAGGTCGATAGCTTGGGCCACGTCCACTTTGCTGTATTTTGCGTACCTGTCAAAGACTGAAGGTGAAGACGTCGGGGAAGAGTGTTAAATCTGACTGGAACAAACAAACAGGAAGAAGTCAGATGTTACTTATCGAGGCGGTCAGCCATCTAACCTTTACGAAGATGAGGGGCACTCCTGGTGGTGAGGATTTCAATGAAGGCAGAGCAGTCTTTGCCCTTCCTCCCCTCACCGGCCTCGTACAGAGCCCTGGCATCACTGTCAATCAGCTGCTCAGAGACTCCTTCAGTCCTGCTGGCCTGTGACACACAGAGACAGAGCAATGTCACTGTATTGAACCCAACTAAACTGGGTCCAGTGTCTCTTTAAGACAGGAGAAGTATAGGGAGGGAGGGTCTGTGATGACCAAGGCATCATACTTATTGTACTTTAGTTTGCTGTGTGACACTAAAGCTTATTTTTCAAACTGTCATTGGCAGCATCTTAGTGTGAATGGAGCAAGATAATGAAATGAGATTTATGCTGTGCAAGTCAATTAGGACCTGTGATGTCATGTCCCTATTTCAGAGACATAAAATAATTAAAAATACCTATATGCTGGTTTCTGGAATGCTCAACACTTCAGTCACACATTTTACTAAATTTTTTTTGTGCATGAAAACTGAAAGAGCAGTATAGGCAAGAATGATATGATATTCCCTAATAAATAATGATCTGTCCCGCAAACAGTGTAGAAAGTTGACAAGCTTTAAAAAGCAGAGGAAGCACAAAGATAATCAGATTGAATGACATTAATTACTTATTAATTATTAAATAACCTGCCAGACTGATTAAAGCAGATATTCTACAACATTCACACTTCCACTCATTTTATCAAAATGCAGCTTCTGACTTTATTTAAATGTAATTTATGTTTAGCACAAGTTTGTTCTGTGCATTTCCAAATATGAAGCCACAAGGCCCAACTGCGTTAGCATGCATTTGTGTGTGTGCGTGCGTGCGTGCGTGCGTGCGTGCGTGCGTGCGTGTGTGTGAGATTGTTTATCTTTAATAAACCCGTGTTACTCCAGCAGCTACAGTAGGGAGTGGTATGTTGCCTCAGAGTTTGAGGGCATCCTAGTGCCATGACTGAATAATTGTCGTCATTTTTGTTGTTGTCTTGTCTCGTCATTGCTAGATGTCTCCTAAAACTCCTGTATTAAGTACAGAATGCAACACACAGAATGAGACAGAAAGCAGATGTGGAAAAACACACATACCTTGCAGAGTGCAAGGAGGGCAGCCCTGAAGTCTCCGCTGGTGTCAGACTTGATGTCGTCCTCCAGGTCCTTCTTGTATTCTTAGCAAAGAAAACACAGTGGGAAGACATAAAATTAATGTTCAAAATGAGAAAACTGTGTTTCAGCAAGTCCATTTCTGATGTGTAAACTTTCTTTCATATCCCCGAGGCTATAACTTCCCACTGTCACATGTCGTATCACTTCTATTTCCAAACACTAGCTTGATGAAACTGGAGCTTGTTGCACACACCCTCTTTGTAGGTTTTCTTTATATCCAGGATCTCTCTGTTGGTCCGGGACGCCAAAATCTCAATCAGGGTGTTCTCGTCTGTGCCCAGACCCTGAGACAGGGATGCATGGATACAGATTGAAGCAGAGAAAGACCACTTATTCTGCACCAGTATAATTCAAACAAAACACACCTTGTTCCCGACTGTTCAGGAAATGATACATGAATATGTGGAAGTGGGTGGATATCTCGATGCACCAAAAATAACAGATGATGGTGAGGTCAAAGCAGTCGCCCCAGATGTGTTCACATCCTCGGGTTTAAATGGTTTGAGTTGTTTTTATATTTATATCAACGTTCATTGTAAGTTTGCATTTGTGTGATTGTGCACCTTCATAGCCAGTTTCAGCAGCTGGGCATCGTACTGGGAAGGTGTTTTGAGCAGAGCCAGCACCACGTCCTCCAGATCTCCCTTCAGAGCGCTCTTCAGTGCTGATTCCAGAGGCTACAAGGGAACAACAACCCATGTTGTAAATTTAGTGTTTGAGAGCATATGATCATGTGCATAACTGCACTATGGATGTGTGTACAATCTTCTTGCTATGAACATCTCATTACCTTGCCACTGGCCTGGTGGTAAGCCTCTTTGATCTGCTGTCTCTGCTCATTGCTCCTTTTCACCAGAATTTCAATGATGGTGTTCTCATCCACACCTGCAGAGAGAATCATGATCATTCTGCATTCATACGACAGAGACAAATATTCAATCCTGCTGAGATTTTAACCCTAACAGTATTTGTACTCCAGTGTGAGGGCCCACACAGAGATGTGAGGTAACCTTCTACCACAGGCAATGGCACTGTTTGTAGTTATGATGCATGATGGCCAGCAGAGGGTGTTAAGGTTATTCTCACAAAGGCTAGCCCTTCATATTTGAAGGAAAGACACATTGCAAAGCCAGAACGTGTTCACACACGCTCCAAAGCTTCTCTGTGAGGGTTTTAAGTTCACCTTTTGTCTTGATGGCCTTATCCAAGACTGCTGCATCTCCGTTGGGGCTGAAATTGGGTGCTGCCGTCACTGTTCCCTCATTCTTTAGGACCTGAGTGACACAATACTTTGTAATAATTTATATCTTTTAGATGCCTTCAAAATCACAATTTTGTCCCCTCACACATCGCCTGCATTAATCCTCCATCTTTAAACATACCAAAGACATAAAAAAGATACTTGTTTTATTATGTCTGTGGGCACTGCCCTGTCTGTCTCTGCCCCCCAACCTCTAAGCCTCCAGTGGCCATTACAGTGCCATTTAAAATGCCTGTGCACACCCCTGTTGGACCGAAGTGAACAATAAAGGAGGAGAGGAGGCACAGACTGAAATCATAAAAATCTTAAGCAACTTTCCCATACTTCACTTTAAGAAAGCAGAAGTAGCATTTTGTTCTGTTTGCAGAGTTTATAAAAGGGAGGGGTGAAAATTCCTGCCTCCATGAGTCACACACTCACAAGACTTAGTATGGTCATGTTTGAATAAAATCATCATGATCCTGACAGCCTTTCACTTTAATAAAACTTCTCATCTTATCTCCCTGCTCCACTCCCTTTTCCTTCCCTCTATCTACCTTTTAAACTTCCCACTCATTCATTCTTTCCCCCTCAAACATCTTGTACACTTCTCTCCTTCCCTCGCTCTAAACTCTGCCTGATACATTTTTTCCACTCGAGCATACCACAGGATGAGAAGAAAAAAAAGGAAAAAACAGGGTGGTTGGCCTTAGCAACTGGAACAGAACAACAGCGTTACGTACTGAGTCATCGGGCATGCCCAGATAGACGGTCTGCTGCAAGAAGGCTTGGATGAAAGACATGGTGGGACTGCTGGAGTCTGTCTGTCTGAAAAGAGAAGAGAAGAGAAGAGAAGAGAAGAGAAGAGAAGAGAAGAGAAGAGAAGAGAAGAGAAGAGAATATGTCAGCACTGATGTGATCCAAACATGAGTACCTAATGTAGCATGAGATGTTTTGTCAAGAAAGTAGCCTGCAAGTCTTTTGTGAGAAAGGACAGAGGACCTAAGGATAAAACAAGCACAATGGACACACTGTAGATGGTATTTAGAGAAGAAATTCTCCCTCTTTTATCGATTTTACTTCAGTAATGTTCTCATCTCTCATCAGTTCTAAAAGAGTTAGCACGAGAAAGAAAGAAACTGTTTGTTTTTCCTACATCCACTCCTAGAGAGCAAACTCTGCATATTTACTGTAGGTTTACATTAGGTGGTTTTCCATAATGCCAAACGTGTGGAGGCTGCCTGGCCACACCCACGTTAAACTCTGAGACGGATATAATCATTGGAGGGTAGCTCACAGGTCCAGTCTCACTTAATGTGTTAGTGCTGGTACTGAGAGACAACTCTGCTGCACACTGAAACCAGCTCAACACTTCACTTTCGCCAAATGATTAAATCCACAAAAAGAAAATTGTCGCCACTATTTTCTCCAACCACACCCACATAGGTTGCATCAATACCTTGCGGAAGAGAAGACTTAAAGCCATTGGATCTATCTTCAACAAAGTCTCAAACTTAAAGCTGGAGTAGTGGTTTTAGATTTTTAAGGAAAGAGAATGACTTACCGCGAGGCCTTAGTGGGAAGAAGTTTGTTTGACTGAGTTTCCAGGGGCGTTGTAGGGATAGAGAGAGTTTATTTATACCCATGATAAACCCCACCTAGTAACGGGTCCAGCCCATCCCACCCTCCACACAGCTGCCATTGGATTGAACCGCTGCCTGCCCCCGCGGAACTCCGTCCAAAGTGCGACGCCGTGCGTAACAACTCACAGCAGCAGCAGCAGCAGCAGCAGCAGCAGCAGCAGCAGCAGCAGCAGCTTCCTCCTCCTACAGCAGATTCCTAACAGTCATGTTGCTGACTTGAAAACACGCGGTGACCCAGTGCCAGGTCGTAATCTTTCATAAAAATGGAGTTCATGTGTAAAATCACTGATACACACCGACAGAGTGTCTGTGACTGAGGGAGCGGTGTTAAGATGACTCACTGTACTGTGCTTTTCTGTACTTCTTGTGTGGTTTTAATGCAGTAGGCCTATCCATTTTGCATTTGTTTATATCAATGTTTAATTTTCTGTCGTTATTATTATCAATTCTATTATTTTTTTTACGTTTCCAAGCTTCTTATTTTATGGATGGACAGTGTGATTTTGTTGTTTTCTCAACATTTAGACATTTCATTATCACATTTAAAAGTTTATATAGAAAAAGTACATGGTGTCTTTTAATGAATACAGGCCAAGTGATTACTGATCATTTTACTAACTGAAAACGTTTAGCATAATTGTTAAAATATTGCTCCCTCACTCAGTATCTGTGGCCCATATGCTTCTATTTATGTGTTTGGTGGAAGCCCAAGTGAATGTAACTCTTACATAACTCTTATATAAACCAAGAGTTTATTTGTGTTGTGTTCAGGGCTCTGTTTGCACACATAATTGTTCCACAGGTAATGTGTTCACTGTCCACAGCATAAGAGATGGTTTGATGTTCCTGCTGTTTCATTAGTAGTGTATCTCTCCCTTTTTGAGATTCCTGCTGTTATCTCTCCCCTCGCAGAAAATGTCATCAGCCTCCTCAAATGAATCCACAGCCCATTGTATCTCTGTGTGTGGAACCTCTGATCTATACAACTGAACAAAGACCACCTTATCATCCCTCAAAAAGAGTCTGCCTTCGGTGTGATGAGGTAATGAGTGTCTTTAAGGTGTGGCATGTTGTCATGACAGCACAGTCGGGGCCTGACGCTACCTGCGGGCTGCATGCCTCAACAGAGGGAAGATACTTTCACACCCCTGAGATTGTAACAGCCAGGGTAATGACACATTTATCTGATGACGACATTATTTTAACGCATTCATCTCACTGTAAGAAGTTATCTAAACAATCAAGACTTCACAGGCCTTCAGTGAAGTCAATTAAAACTTCTGTCATGTGTGCATATGTGTTTAATGTTTTTTTTTATTATTATTATTTGTTGAAGTTGTTGTACATTTCACACTAAAGTGACACTATACATCCACAGGGGAATCAGGTCAGGGCAGGGTTTGGATTGTGCAAAAGGAAGGCGGGGGCAAAGCTGCAATTTCATTAAAGTGGCATCACGGCTAGATTTATCTTTAAGCGAGGTGTGTTAAACAGATGCTCAAGCTGTGGTCCAAATGTTCCAAATGAGTCTGTTGGTCTAAAAAAGAAAGGAAATCCTCATAGAAGGGCCTGGCCATGAATAACAGGGAATGAGAGTGTAATACCTTTATGACCGTGAAATTGATTTCTTTCTTTTTTTCACAATTACTTCTTTAGAAAGGTTTATGAACACAGTACCGTCACAACAAACCTGCATTAAGATAATTTCCTCACACTCTTCAGTGCAGTTCCCCTGCATGTAGGTGAACCTATTTCAGGCTCATTCCCTCCACCCAAAACAATTGAGAAAAAACAAGACAAGACTGAGTGAAATGAGTGTGTGTATGAACGATGTGTACGCGTGTGTCTTAGTCTGTGTGAGGCAGCTTCTAGTTACAATCTAAATCTTACACATGGGAAACCTGAGGACTGTTTGGGGCATCTTTTTACCACCAGTCTCTGTGGGGTTTCAGCCAGTACCTGGTGAAACTCCATCTCTGCAGGTTTAATATTTAAAGACTGTTGAGAGTTTGGTTCCCCTTAGAGATCAGGATCGACGTGTCCTCGCGCTCCTGGTCAGCACAGCAGCACCCAAACCTCCCTGAAACGCACTGAAGGGATCTGATCTGCTCCGAGACCAGGTAGTTCAAGCTTTTTTTTTTTTTTTTATTCAGTTTTATCATGTTTTCTGCTTATTTGAAAGTGAATGTGTTTTATGATTAATTCATTCAATGTGTAGTTCGGCAGTGTGGCTCATTTTTCAGTTCATTCAAATCACTTTGTTTATCAAAAGAACTGGCGTTGTGCCAGTTCCTGCCGAGTGAGATGTAAGATTTGTTCTTATATAGCGCTGTGAAATCAAGGAAACTGAAAATAAACCCACAAATTAAACTTTGGGATTTTCAGTTTTTCCTGTGGCGAAGCTCATAGCTTATAGTAGCTTGGAGAGGCTGACAAAAGGATTGCACTCCCTGAGTGAATCAGCTGTGTGAGCTTTTTGACATCTGCAAATAGTTTGAGGGTTGAATAAGAGTTCATGATGCAGGTTGAAATATTTTGGGATTTTCAATTGCATATAAATTACAAATTTTCATCTGTCTCTGATCTCGGTGGCTTTAAAACAATATTAACTATCTTTTCTCTGCAGACTTTGGACGGATCAACAGAGCCAACGCAAGAAAAGCAGTGACAGCCAAAACACACTTGTATACACAATGTATGTGAACTCTTCTGGAGCCGAGAATGGATCCTATTCACTGACCTTCCTGGGAAAGAGAGTAGGGAGACATCACTCTGTGGCTCCTGCAGGCAAGCAACGTGAGTGTATAAGACATCAACACCTAACACGATTCATCTCAATTCTGTGTTCATCTTTAGGGTGGTAATGACGTCCTCGTGTTCATTTCTGTATAAGATACCAGATTATATGCTGAGGAGGAGGCTGCTCTGTGTGATGAATGTGAAGCAGGCGGACAGGTGAAGTTAGACGAGGCTTAAATATTTCAGCTGCTTGGCTGCCCCCGTTGTGAAGCAGTGGAGCGGTCAGTGTATCAGAACAAACATACCACACTGTTCCTGGCAGGGTCTGGTGTGAGATCTGGCTATGATGGCCAGCCGGGGCCGGACTTAGATTCACCCGCACATGCAGACACACACATACTAATAGACAGGCGTATGTACACGTATCCTAAATGACAGTAGAATTAGCTGGTGGTGACTCCAGCTGTGGCAGAAATAGATGCAGATGTGTTCTGTGGGGCCTGCATCCAGAGGTCTGTGGGTTCTTGTGAGATATGTACGGAGAAGACTGGTTTCATGCCTACATTATGTTATCCAGATGTTTCTGTTACCTGCAGCTGTCTGTTCTCCTCACCTCGCCTCCATCTACACCCGTCCATCTCCATGCAGCAATAGTTTGCCTTTTTATTTTGAGTGAGTTTATTTTGAACGAGTAAAGATTATACCCTGTTCTTCATTTATTTTTCTGTCTGGACATTCAAATTTCCTTTTTAAATCATGTACATCATCTGAAAGTTTTTATGTATTTATTTATTTTATCAGGCGCCTGGGAGACTACTGACAGGTCTGGCTGCGCTGAGGACCCTCTGGTGTCCTCGCGGCCCGCACGGGTCCCGGTGGCAGCACAGGTGCTGGAGGATTTACCAGGCAGCGTACCGGAGCTGAAGGATGAGAGGCCATGTCCAATAATGCACAACAGACAGTTTGACAGCACAGCAGGTCAGAGCAGTGTACTCCTCCCTACACATACATTCATGCAACCACTGAGGCATAAACTGTAGCATAATCTCTTTCAGCCATTGGTCTTATTACTTTTAACCCCTTACTAAACTCCAACCAACACATGCTTACCCTGTTATAAGTTTCAATTCTTCTCTGTTTTGAGACTTTCGGGGTTTACCCTTACCATGCAGCAGATAACCTGATTTTTTTTTAATATTCCCAACTTTTCCCTGTAATTCCTGACATACAGTAATTTCTGTTTTTCTACTAAAAGGTGTTTCTGGGAGGAAGGTAACAGCATGACGGCACGCCCACATTCCTGTATGAGGAAACAAAGAGGGGAGAGGGTGGGCTGGGGACGGGTGTGGGACAGAGAGTTGTGAAATATTCAGGGGAAATGTGTCCGTATTTTAGACATACCAGGCCACAGTGATGGATTAACTTGAAAATGAAAATAAACAGGGACTAACTATTGCTGTCTCCTCACTTCATATAAACTCATAAATAACTGAATTACTGACAGTACCTACATTTTGAATGTATTTTCAGAAATAAACATGTAAATAGACATTAAACTGGCTGCTAATCATAATGGTGAGGATGTAATACCTGTTTAAAATCTAATAAATAAAATGTTAAACTGTTTTACTGAAGTTTATGTGCTTGATTTTTTTGCCATGACTCCATCCATTTTAGACATTTTTGAACTGCAATAAAATGATGATAAATACATGAACATATTGTACATCAGTTTTTCATATGAAAAACTATGAAGGTAACAAGTTGCACAACTCTATTTTAAATATATCTATACACACTCAATTACACTAACACACACACACACACACACACACACACATAGTTGAAGGAGTGATTTATGAACTCCAGCACCCGATGAAAGTATTTCATGAGTTTGACATTCATCTGTACAGTACAGTTTGATTATATAAAAGATCAGTTTTACTTATCTGCAGCATAATGATATTTTAGATGGATACGTTTCTCTGGGGATTTTTTTTAATAATAGCATGAAATATTGCTGGACAGAGAAAAATCCTCAAAACCCAATAACGAACCACATGTTAGTTTGTAAAACTGATTTATTATAAAATGTAATAGCACATTCACAACTTCGCAATATAATTTTGCAGCATATCTTATGTTGTTATTACTCTTGCTCTTCTCTTCCTCTTTCCTTTGCCTTTTACTCTGCTCCCTGAGCTGACTCCAACTGTCCACCAACATTTTCTTCATTGTTCAAGATGTTGTTCTTCACAAAACTCTGTGGATGAAGAGGTGGGCTGCGTTCAGGCGCTGGATTGGTGTAGATCGAAGGAAACACCCCGGACAAGAGATCAACCCAGGTGCTGTAAAATGAAGAAATATACAGTAGTTTGTGGAGAAAGAGGAGGGGTGCTAGTGTGTGTGTGTGTGTGTGTGTGTGTGTGTGTGTGTGTGTGTGTGTGTGTGTGTGGCAGCAGTGGAAAAAGTGTTCAGATTCTTTCAGTCTGTAAGTGGTACTAAGGAAAATGCATCAATACAACAATGTAAAAGTACTCCACAACAAGTGCTGCATTCAAAACTTGACCCAAGTAAAACTGCCCTAATTTTTGCAGAACAAGTAAAAGCACTTGTTTGCCAGAAAACAGCCCCTGTGGCTGATATTTCATTGCATAATAGGATATGATTAGATACTGATGCATCTCTGTGTCAAACAGCATTTTACTGCTGTGGCTGGTGGAGTTAGTGTTATCTACTCTACATTTAGGTAGAGTAGTCCAGAGGTTCCCAAACTGGGGGTTGACCCCCCTCCAAAAGGTCACAGGATGAATCTGAACGGTTATAAGATCATTAACGGGCCTCCAACAATTATTTAGATAAAAGTGTTTGAAAAACGGTTTGATCTCAAACAATTATAAAACATTTGTATTACTAGTAACTAAAACTCAAATAGAAGAAAAAATGTTCCTCTGAAATGGAGTGAAGTAGAAGTATAAGGCAGTGGAAATATTCATGTAAAGTATATGTAGCTCAAAACTGTGTGAATGCACTTATTTAGTTTCCACCTCTGCTGTGATGGGGTGTGGAAGTGAAAAAGATAGAGACTGTGGCAGCTGAAAATGGAGAAGTGAAGCTTTCTACTGACTATCACTTTCATGGTTCTGAACTGCATGGTGATTTCCAGCATGTTATATCCGCAGGCTCGTCAGAATCACAGCTGTCAGATAGCAGCGATGCAGACCAGGTGACGGAAGAAGCTGAAGGATCACAAGATGCCAAGATCTACATCCCCTACGAGTCAGCCGAGCACTGCATCACTCAGGTAAAATGATGAGCGTTGGCGGCGGTAGAGCAGCGCACAACAAATACTGTTTCTCATTCAGGCAATGTATTTATATTCAGAATAAAATCAGTTTTAAACCATTCGACATGGATACTGAAAAAAACATTGCAGACCGACACAGTGAGAGCAGATAAAATAAGCTTCACTTTATTTCATGAAATGGTGACGTGTGACTTGGGGCTCTGTCCAGTTGTTCAGTGAGAGGGCATGCAGGCACACAATGAACACACTGTCAGACACTGTGTTGTGATCTCGCTCACACTCACATGGCTAACCTGATGCTGCTGCTGTGGCCCTGGAAGGCATCAGGACCATGATACTATTTTGTGTATGTGATGTCTGTGTGTTTGTATGCACTCCACAACAGATAGCCGAGGACATGGAGGCTATGAAGAGACGACACTTGGAAATGGTGCAAGAGCTTGAGGAGAACTTTCAGATCACAGCACGAGAGACACAGGTGAGGAAGTGTCTGTGCGTGCACGTGTGCGTGTGTGTGTGTGTGAGAGAGAGCATGCACTAAAACATTACTAATGCAAATGACGGTGTGTGTTATCAGGAATGGACCATGCAGAAGATCAGATCTCAATACCAGAACAAGTTAAACATTCTGCGGAGGATCCTGGACCTCTACCAGGAGAAGGTGGAGAAGAAGAACGCTGACTGGGAGAGGAGAGTTGCAGTCAGTGTCGTCCGTCTTTCCTTCAGAGTCATCTCTTGCTTAAGTGTCTCTTTTGTTTCAAACCAACTCCCTGTCCTAATGTCTCCCTCATCTAAATATCTGGCTTTCCCCTGTGATGCCTGCAGCTCTCTTGTGGCACACTTTGTTCTTTCTGGTCATAAAGTTCAACAACACAGTCAAACTCTCTGACCTCTGCTTCAAACTTTGGAATTAGTTAATCAGCAATGCTTGTGCACACATTGTCATCAGTATAGGTGACATATCAAAAAGTAATTTATCTATTCATCTCGTCGCCTGGCCCTGTTTCCTGCAGGCTTTGACTGCACAGAACGAGCATCTGCTGGAGGAGCAGAGAGCTGAGAGGAGGAGGAGCAAAGAGGAGGCGCTGCAGTGGCACAGAGAAAAGGTGGAATTGTCGCTCTCATGTCTTCCTCTGAACCGGAGCGCCCTCTTGTGGCCATATTTCAGTATAAACCATTTCATTTTGTTACATAATTATCTTCTCTCTCTCTCTCTCTCTCTCTCTCTCTCTCAGAGCAAAATGCTGGAGCTGTTCTCCAACAGGCTGGACGTCCTGCACAGCCACCAGGCCTCCAGTGAGTCCACGTGGATGCATTCATATGCATGTGTGATCATTACATATTACACCTTTATTAATGCTCTGTGACACTGTACAGCACTGCAGGAGCTGCAAATGGCCAGACAGGAAGTTGGGAAAGTCCAAGAATTGTTGATGGTATCATCACAGGAGCAGCGGGAGGAAGCAGAGGAAGGTGAAAGCTCAGAGAACAAAGGACAACAACAGATTGTGGTGGGTTGGAGTTAGTTACCATGGCAATGCTGCTCATATCTCAGAACATGATCTAAGATTATAAACATATGAACACAAAACCAACAAAACAATCTAACCTTCTGAGGGACATGATCATATTACAAAGACATTAAACATTGACATTGAACTGATGTATTTTGATGGTAGCTGAAGTTTAAGAGGTAGATATCACAAACATCAGCACATAAAAACAAAACTATTCGCATGGCTGGTGGTACAAAATAAGTTTTTGTGATTTGGGTGTACTGGCCTTTTCTATTTGCAGGATTGCAGTGAGTCAGATCTGCCACTGGAGGGGGCTAAAGCCCGTCTAGAGGAGCTGAGGGAGAGTTTGTACCAGAGGGAGAGAGAGATCACTGAGCTGCTGGAGGCAGAGAAGAGCCATGTCCCTCCTGTTCCTCCGCCACCCTGCAGTCTTCTGCTTCCCACTGTCATACACAAGGTGCTGTTCAACTATTAAACTATGTGTGAACTGTTAACTGTCTGCGTATTGAATTATTATAGATATGGTTTTTGCTGCAGTAAATGCTTAATTTCTCCCTGAAAAATTATCACCCTGATTTTATGACTTTCTTGTACCAATACCATAACATTGCTTTGTTTTATTTTCAAGGCGCATGCAATCTGCAGTGCAGTGACTGAGACCAGAGCTCTGTTGGACCGGATGATTGAGGAGAATCAGGCTGCTCTGGTTGAAGCCAGACACAAACTGAACCGTCTACAAGCGGCCAAAGAAGACAGTAATGGCAAAGAGGATAAGACTTCAGACCATGAGCGGTTAGATATCATGGAAACAGTTGGCAGATATAAATAAGCCAACTTTTGTATTTTCTTCATTCTTTTTGTTGTCTGAAATATAATAATCATGAAAATTATTTCTCTTCCTCGCTTCAGGTCATATGAATATGGGTCAAGTTTGTCATTACTACAAGAAACAGTGAGGGAGTATGAGGTCTCTCAAATGGCTTTAGACTGCATCAAAACTGGAGAAAGCCCCGTAACAAATGGTAAATAAGTAACTTAAATCCCCTGAATATGTTGCTTGCTAAAGCTAAATTAATCACTACATTCATTTTACATGCATCCAGCAGTCAAGTTGACATGGACTGTGATTGTTTCTACATTAGATTTGACTCATTGAGTGTACAGTGCATCCACTTACATCAGTGGTTTTAATTTTTAATTTTTCAATTTTATTTAATTTTTTAAGATTGTGACACAGTCTCAGAACTGGACGACATCTTGGGACGAGGGACAACCCGAACCACAGAGGGAGTGAAGAGCGTCAGTCAGCAGCTCCTCTTACTGCAGGATCAGGTTGGTTTTATATTACATAGGTCAGTGTATCAGGTCAGATCAAGCCTCAGGGGTAACAAAAAAATACTGATGATAACCTCCCAGCTGCCCTGTACACTAGTAAACAACAAACTTATGTACCAGAAGAAGTGGGCCTTCCCTATGTATTAACCTGTGCCACTATATGACATCAGTGGTGACCATTGTGAGCGTCGACAACCTGCTACTGGGTCATACTCTGACCTTTGACTTGACTTTTCTATGGGTTTTTAAGTTTCCGGATGCAGAAGATGTTTTGGATTATTAAAAATTGGTTTAGCTTTCTGTTGTCATACCTGTGTGTTATCGTGCTCTTCTCTCAAGCTCAAGCAAATTAAAGAAGAGAAAAAGAAAATAATTGAGAACTACACTTCAGAAAGAACAATGAGGAAGAAGTACTACAATATGGTGGAAGATATGAAAGGTACACGTTAGCCAGCATTCAGTGTTAATGCATGGAATTAAACACCAGAAAGTGAGGCCCTCTCAGTTTAAACCTCAGCTTTTTGAGGTTATTAATGGGTTTTTTTTACCCCACAGGTAAAATCCGAGTGTTTTGTCGGATTCGACCAGTGAGCAGAACCGAGGATACGCAGGGTGAGGCCGTTGTTGTGGATAAAATAGACGATTACTCTGTCACCGTGGAAACCCCTCGTGGGCCGAGGGAGTTTCAGTTTGACAAGGTGTTCAGTGCTGAAGTGTCTCAGGAAGACTTGTTTCATGACACCTACAGGTGAGGGGTAATGTGCTTCCAAATCAGGGACTAATACAGTATATACACATATCTACAATAACACACGTATAATGGGCACCAGATGTGTCTCTTCCAGGTTCTGATAGTTTATAGTACATCCTGAAGTTTAGGTACAAGTACTTATGTAATATAATGTATCACACTGATGGAGGCCCCCAGATAATCTACAGATGTTTGAAAGCTCGCAGCTCAGAAATATTTTCCCCGCAGACTCATCCAGTCGGCTATTGATGGTTACAACGTCTGTATCTTTGCGTACGGCCAGACGGGCTCAGGGAAGACCTTCACCATGGTGGGGGACAAGGAGCAGAAGAATCCCGGGATCATACCAAGATCTTTTAATGCCATATTTGATATCATACGGGAGAACAGTACCAAATTCGACTTCAAGGTAACAGACCACTGTAATTAGATGTTACTGGGAGGAAAGATCTTAGATTTTACTTGAATTATGAAAACCTCCCATCAACTCTCTCCTCTTGTCTCTCTCCCCCAATTTCTTCTTGTCCCTTGTGCTTCTTCATCTTTCTGCCTCAGGTTTCGGCCTATATGCTGGAGCTGTACAATGACAAGCTGCAGGACCTCTTTGTGAGCCTGGCTGGTGAGGCCCATGCACAGCCCCAGTCCCATGGGCAGGCCAGGCGGGTGGAGATCAAGAGGAACAGAAAGGGAGTTGTGTTCGCCCAAGGAGCAGAGACAAAGGAGGCTTCCAGTGCCCAGGAGCTCTACGCTCTGTTCCAGCAGGCCTGCGCCAACCGACACATCTCTGCCACCAGTGAGTTCTCTGTGCCGTGCCGTTCTGTGCCGTGCCGCCCAGTTCAAACAGTGTCCTGCTAAATGGTTTGGATTAATTGTGTTAGTTACAGTCAGTATGGCTACAGCAGCTAGGTACATCATTACTGGACTGGACGGTGAGTGGCAGAGCAGCCAAATGGTGAATCAGCAACACTGTGTTATAGGTGCACACAGGTCATCAGAGTCTGTACAGGATACACCTAATGTTTTAGTTTAACAGAGCTAGAGCCACTACAAAATTCTTACTAACTATTACAAGTACAATCTATTGACAGTGGATACTGACACATTTGTAAAAACCTCACACACTATATGGAAAGAAGGACGGAACAAAAAAAAACACATTTTTTGTATGTATGGTTTTAAAGGTAATTACGCTATTTTTTTCACCTTAATCATTAACAACTTGACTATAGGTGAAATGATTAGATGATTAATTGAAGTCAAGTCATTTGTCACAAAAAACCGGCAATTAAGACAAACAATTGATCAGTTAATCTAAATGATGATCAGTAATTAAAATAAATTTTAGTTGTAGCTCTAATCTTGACTACAAGTTTATTTGAGAGAAAAACTAAATTAGTGAACTTTTTTTGGTTATGTTTCACAAGAGATGAATGTGGAGAGTTCCCGTTCCCATCTCATTGTTGGAATCATGGTGGAGAGCAGGAACCAGACCAATGGGAGCGTGATCACCGGGAAGCTGAGCCTCGTGGACCTGGCTGGCAGTGAGAGAGCAGCCAAGACTGGCGCCAAGGACCACCAGCTGAAGGTTTGCATGTATATTATTTATTAATATGTTTTGACTGGCCCATCAAGTGACAGTAAGGATGATTGATATTTCTAATGGCCTCTTTAAATTCCCCTCTCTTCAATAGGAAGCTAACTCCATCAACAAGTCTCTGAGTGCCCTGGGTGATGTGATCTCCGCCTTGTCTGCTGAACTGCCCCATGTACCATATAGGAACAGCAAGCTGACACAGGTAACTTTTAAAACCAGTAAACTTTAGCAATCCAGTTTGTTCAGTTGTGAAGGAATTCAAACTTTATTGACTTCAGACACAAATTATAAAAAATAGCAATGAACATTAAGGTCATCCAAATCTGACCTGTGCTTTTAATGTCCCTTTAGGTGATGCAGGACTCCCTGGGTGGCAATGCCAAAACCCTCATGATCGTCAACATTTCTCCTTCAGAGTGCAACCTTGATGAGACTCTCACATCTCTCATGTAAGAAACAAAGACAGAGAGAGAGAGAGAGAGAGAGAGACAGAGAGATTATTATCATTTATTTGAATGCTAACAAACTGAACAACACCTGAACCTCCTGAACCTTCCAGTTACGCAACAAGAGTGAAGGCCATAACCAACAATGCTCAGAGGAATGTGGAAAGCAAAGAGATTGCCCAGCTCAAAGAGGTGCATGTCACTATAATGTGCTACAGTTGTGTCAAAACCATGAATCTATATTTAGGATGAAACCTAAAGAATGTGATTGCCCCATTGAAACAGTCACACCAACTTTATTTCTGTTTTAACTTTTCCATTTTTTTTCTGACAGGTGATCATGAAGCTGAGGTCAGGACAGACAGTGGAAGAGGAGGATGTTTGATCTGGACTACATTGCACATTGCGCACAATAATGCACTTAAGTGGTGAAATGGGATTGTTTGGACCATTTCTTATATCTTGTATGCTTAAGCCGCAAATACTTCTGAACTGGCATTTTCGAGTATTTTAAGTCATATTTGGTCACATGGAGGGATGAGTGACATCACTATAGGAGCACTGACAGTGGCATTCAGGGCATACAGCATACAGTGGCAGGGGGTGAGAGCTTCATGACGGAAGGTAAAGGCAACCGTTAGAGGGGCACTGTTTAAAAACTGCCAAAGTTTGCAGGGGAAATATATCAAACGAAAGAGACCTCCAAGGTTTTATTTCCCTTTAAATGTGTATATACTACAGTTTCATATAATCATCCATTTGAAGAAGGCAGTGATTTAATTGAGGAGTCATACAGAGATTTATTCTGCTGTTTATTGGTTTGTTGTTCTCTCCAGGCCTTGGCTCAGACTGGAACAGTCACAGCAGATCCAAGGCTTCAAACAGAAATCGTTTGAGCCAGGATGGCATTTCAGTGCTTATGGGGGATAACAGGTTCTATAAGTAGGCTGCCTTTTGTCTGCATTTGGGCCTGATCTTAATTGTTCATCATTTTTTATCGATACCGCGGGCCCCACAAGACGTTTGTCTTTGTTATGCCACATTAGCTAGCTTTGCGTGCTGCGTTTTATTGGCTGCTTTAGATCAGAGGCCACTCAGCACATGTTCACTGTGATTTGTTATTCTTTAATGACGGCCATAGTTTCAATCATACTGCAAGCTCTGTGGACTAGAACAAAGTGAGGGACAAAGACACAGAGTGCTACAGAGAGCACATGGAGAGGGAACAGGGTTGATGAGGGGGCTGAGGTCTCATCCTCTGGGTGATTTTTGTTAATCAATCAACACAAAGCAATTCACTGTAAATGGTTTGCATACATGACCACCCACAGGCAAACAGCGAATGATGCCTTAATACAGTTAATGACTGCAGGCTTGCTGTCACTACATGACTTCTGTCAGTATACATTTGTATAGAGGACAACTGAGAGTTATCATTCTTGTACAATAAGCTTTAAAGGACAGGATTACCTTGGAAATAGAAATATTACAAGTACAACACAGAGGTTAAGCACTTCTTTTCTTATTTTCATGTTGCATGTTTCACCACAGATATCATGATATGCATTATACAAAGGCAATGTTAGAAGCTGACTACTGTTTTACTTCATAATTTGTGCTTTTATCTGAACAAGATTTAATGAAAGAAAAATCTGCACATATCATGGGATAAGTTTTATCTCACTCTTATTGGTCTACTTTTCCGTTTTAAAATGTTGTAAATAAATAAATAAAAAAAGTTAACAAAGCCTGCTGATAGTATAAACTATAATGATGAGAGCCCAGTGCTCAGAGATTTAATACTCTGAGTTAATCTTTTCAAGAGGTAATTCAACATGTTTGCAGTTATAATGTATTATAAAAAAAAAAGTGAATACCTGAATACCTATGAGAGTTATAATGGCTCACAACAAATGTCTACTGATGGTGCAAACCTAAAGACCAAAAATGTTCAAACAGCTAATAATGTGCTGCTAGATTAATGATGGCCGCACCAGCAGCCACACACTGAACCAGAAGGCCTGGTCTGTTTCATTTCCTTAGTTTAAGAGTCTTTCGGCATGATACTCAAAACTCACATATACAAAAAGATAAATAATTGGACACATAGCATTTGGTTTGATATAACATACAGTTTTATTAGCCATTTTTGACAGTATAGATATCTATTTGGGGTGCACACATTCAGTTAACTTTCTTTGTCGATTTTGATATATTAGTTTCATAAACTTATTTCCAAGTTAATTCAGTTTTCTTTGAGTTACCAGTTCCAGGGGATTGCAGCTGGAGTTGCCTGGTTTCTCCAGTGTGTAGGCTGCTAGCTCGGAGGCTTTTGTTTCCTGTAGTGAAGGAGATTTTTAAAACAGTAACAGGCAGGGAAAGTGGAAATGGAGACATGCTGCAAATGGAAGGCTTATACCCACAGTCTACATCCAGTGAGTCAGACTAATGTCAGATAAACCTTGGTCCCAATCACCAGCTCTGACTTGGCTTCCTTAGCTAACTTAAATCCAATTGACAGGATTGGTTTGTTATGTATGTGACGTATGAATCCTTGGCTGTATGAATTTCTGCTTGTTTTGTCCATGATATGTCTTGTATCATATAAATAAACACCATACGATTTTTTTTTAACAAGGTTAAAAGTTTGATTTTCATTGGAGGGGGTCTTTAAGTTTTACACTGCCTAATACCATTCCTACACAGCCTAGAGGTTGGGGAAGGGTATGACCTGAGGGTTGCCAGTTTGAATCCTTGGGACAGACTTCACTCTCTACTGTTCAAGTGAAACTATTCACTGCTGAACACTATCAGGCTGTGTCTGTAAAATGAAGTTTACAGGTCAGACACTGCTGAGATTCACATGAGAGCTCAGACTTCTCCAGGACAGATGAAAGTTTAAAACAGAGAATAATGTCATGAACACAACTTTCAAACTCTCCACTTAAGAGTGAAGTTTCCATAAGTTATTCAAACACATACTGCCATGCTTCTTTACATTTAACTTATGAAAATAGAACTTCCTGATTTCACACTTCGCCGTCCTCTTTACCTCCCTCAAAGATGTCTGGGACTGTGTCTAATCTGAGTGTGTGGGAGGTCACAGTACTGATGGGAGACGAGGAGGAGGTTCAAAATGTCTGAATATATACTTTTGCGTCATTCCTCAGAGAGCCACTGGGGGAGACTGGAGATGGGACAGATGAGTTAGCTCGGCAGTGTTTGCCTTGGAGCTACAAAAAAAGAGGAGGAGGAGCCAGGGCAGGGGGATAAAGACAGGAAGAAGATGAGGACATGAGGGGGATGAGAAGATGAAAGGGAATCTAACAGATGAGGAGGCAATAGGAGAAAAGTTGAAACGAGGAAGGAGAGACGAGGGCCAGCGAGAGTGAGGATGAACCCTGCATGAACACAGTTTGAGGCCTGAAGCGATGATCACCAATCTGAAACACCCTCTCTCTCCCTCCCTCAGTGTTTAACTGTAACTAATAACTTGAGATAAAGACATTTAATGAGGGTCTGTTTTCGAGCTAGTTTCATTTTTAATGTGATGGGACAGGAAGGCAGAGGGACCCTTTAGAAGTACAGGCACAGAAGCACTTTGAATGACCCTCACCCAGTAAAGATTTAGCTCAATACAAACAAGTTAGTCCATGGTAAATGCTATGTCTATCTGTTTTTTGATATCTTAGAAATGCTTTTTTACATACAGTATATTTCCCTTTTGTAGTTCATGTGTGTGCTTATGGTTTTCACCCCTTTTGCCAAAACAAAAACTCCAGTCTATGAACAAGGTATAATGAGAGGTACTATATCTCCGTGGTGTTAGGAAGGTTAGCCAAAGATGGTGGCTAATAGAAATAATAATTAGTATTTGTGTTGTGATTTTCCAAAACATCCACACAGAGCATCATTTGGGTTTTTTGAGGATCTAAAACCTCGAGGAGATCATGATCCTGTACGGACGTGGTTTCATAGTCAGACCAAAATCAGTGCTGAGATCCAGCTCCTGCCCTGGAACATTTTCAATCCGCAGCCCATGGAGCAGCGTGGTGAGAAAGACAAACATCTCCAAGCGCGCAAATCCATCACCGAGACAGCGTCTCTTTCCCATGCCAAAGATGAGAACCTTCTCCGTCAGCTCCTTGTTGAGGAGTCCTGATGGACTCAGGAAGCGTTCAGGCCGAAATGTGTCCGGGTCACCCCAAAGATCACTGAGACATCGTGAGAAACACGAAGACCATTAAAGTATTAAAACAGAAAAACACTATCTTCTCAGCTGAAAGAGATGTGCATACTTCAGTCTTTACTGATACAGTAGCATGTCTTATTAAAATCTAATTCAAAGTCATAATTAGGTGATGATTGCTCGTGGCTACTCACATGTCATGATTGACTTGATACTGGTTAATGAAGACACATGTGTCTTTGGGAATGAAATATCCATTCAGGGTGATGTTTCTTGTTGTACTAAAAGAGCGGAAAGGCGAAGACTGCATTAACAACAATACAGACAACCTGAAATTTACTGTATAAAAACATTTTGTCTTACCAGTGAGGTATGGTGAAAGGGACGTAGGAAGCATGACGAAACACTTCATATATGAACGCCTCTGTGAAAGGCATCTTGGGCTTATCTGAAAACCTGGGAAGTCTGGCTGTGCCAATGTGGTCATCTACATAAGAAAAAAAACACCAAACCTATTAGAAATGAATGGAGAACTGAGTTTGCACAACTTGTAGAACTTGAGTGTTATGTCTGTTGAGTGACTTCAAGGCCAGACTGACCTCCCACCACCTCCCCAAAATGTGATGGTCTGTCCTTACAGAGACAAAAGGAGAGGTGCATTCAGGCGCTCCTATTCAGCTTGCCAAGTTCAGAAAGTTCACCCAAATGGCTGACGATGAAGTGGTGAGTAGCAGTGATAAAGTACAGCTTCATGTTAACATGTTCAGGCTGTTTACAAGAACAAATACTGATGTATTTCCAAATATCTTACCACACACTTTGGGAGTTGCAATAGAAACTAGACACAATGCACAGGATTTATCACCTCAGCTGGGATACAGGTTAACTCAGGGTATGGCCAGTAGAGCCCTTGAAGTCGGGGTCTGCAATGACATCAAACTAATGGGTTTCTGATATAAGTGATAAAACTGCATGATCAGTAGGTTTCATTCAGACTTCAACAAATGTTCCCTGTCTGTAAAATTCAGCTGCACTTCAGTTCATTAGGGGATAAAGGGCTGAGATGTGTTTGAGTTTGTCACATTTCATTAAACATGCACTTCACAAATAATTACTATGACATAAAGTTGTAGTACAGCTACTGTACCTGCTGTAAACAATAGAATAAAAGCTTCTCAGTCAATTAATTGTATGAA